AGAGAGAGAGAGAGAGAGAGAGAGAGAGAGAAATTTACCTCTAATTGATAAACACTACTTCCCGTATACTTTAATTCAAGTAACGGTTCGTAAAGATTTCTGGCGGAATCAAAAGCAAACGTGCGTTGAATGGATGGGATATAAAAATAACCGGCGTTTGAATGCCAGCCTTCAAACCATACCAAAGGATATAAATAATAATTTGGATTCTCAAACGGCTTATCCTTATTGACCACAACTGCTATTATTGACAAATCAATGACAGAATTTCGGGCAAACATTTCGACAATAAAATGGGATCCATTGACTGATTTCAAGCGCATTGAATAAACTAAATTCACTTTTGCGAATGCATTGCGAATATTATCGCAAATTATTTGTGTTTCACTGAACACCGAATGACTGGTTTTTGAATCCGAGTTTCCGACGACTGGAAACGCCTTCAGACCCGACGGCGTGTACTGAAAGGCAAACGCTTTTCGTTCAAAACTGTCCTTTAATTTGCCGATTGTTTTATTTGTATTGTCGATGACTTCGCCGTAAATACAGGCCCTATAATAGTGTGGACTTAAGTAGAGTTGACAACGAATTGTGTCCGCATTTGTGAGACATTCGTTGACATTAGAAGTGGAGGAAGAATAGAGTTTGAATGTAAATCCCATCACAGGTTTAGTCGTGTCTAAGAATAAGAAATAATAAAACAATTGAACTTTTAATTTGATTAATATTTTTGAATAAAATACAAACCGATTTGAAATTTGTTAAGACTTGTTGTAAAATCGGAGTCAAAGAAAATGGGCTCTGATTTGATGCCAGGATTGGCACCACTTTTGAAGCTAACGTCAGACCACTTCCAGAATTTGGCGTTATTTTGAAAGTAGAGATCATTTCCTAATCCGAAGACACTCTCAAGCCTTTGATCGGTTTCGCAGAAGTCGTTTGGTTTGAATGAAGGTTCGGATTCATAGAAATATTTCCCGCAACCAAAGAGAGTATTTAAGCTCTGATATGTACCGAACATTTGGGACTATATTTTAATTTAGAAATATAAATAAAATGAAATTGATTTAAAAATATAACATCAAAACTAAATAAATTTCTTACAGTAAAACTTGTGGTGAATTTGTGGTTGAGTTCAATGAGACTGAGAGGAGTGTCAAGACTACAATTCTGGCCACAACTCCACGTAAGGTTCAGATAACGGAACACATAATAAACATAATCTTTGGGTAAATTATAATTAAAGCCAAAGAGATAATCGGCGGTCAGATTCGTGTCAAACACTTTGCAGAACTGATAGCCCAACAGATTAACAGAGTTTGGGTTTGCCATCGATTCGGATGTGTAGATCTGATACGTGACCCGATCCTCATAGTAAGCAATGAATCGTTGACTGGTATTAATGGCAACACCAGTACCGCCACCGCCGGTGACAGTGACCGCAGCCCTATTGTCACCAATACTTCCGCCGCTCGGATGCGGTAAACGAAACGATACACCGGAGAGGAAGCCCTCTTTGGATGCCATAGTTTCGTTGTGTTTCCACTTATATTCACAATATTTCTTAACCCTTAACCACAAAGAAAATGTATTGATAGTCATTATCCGGGAGTCGTTGTATTTGTTGGCAATCCATTTGACTTTCCCTACAATATAATAAATTAATTATTTAATTTAACAAAATTGGTCTGTCTTTAAGTGTATAATAGTTAACAAATTATATGATTACTGGTGTTTATATGGTGTCCGTAAAGACACGAATAGAAGATCTGGGAGTCGTCGTAAACTTTAGTGCATTCATTGGTTGTGTCCAAACGTCCGCAATCATTGGTCACAAACCGAAACGTAAAGCCAAACACAGGTTTAGATAAATCTGTGCCAAAGAATTGGTAAAAAACAATTGAAAGCAAATTTTGACAAAAGAAGAGAATATGATTGGATTATTCACTTTACGGACCAAATTCCCGGTGAAGACTATTCCACATGTCTTTGTCGTCGACAAAGTTGGCCGCACGGGAGGGGAACCGCTCCATCACATAGTCTTTATCGATACAGTTCTTCAGTTTCAAGAAATTAGTTTTGGTCTGAATTATCAAATCGTTGCCTAAATTGAAAATCGAGGTAAACTTTTTATCCTTAATTTCACAAAACTTATAGTTTTCAGTTTTATTGTTAGTTTTATTAATCGCATAAATTATATTCAAAACCACTAATAAATAGCAGACTTGTGTCCAATAGTGAAGAGTAGCCATCGTTTATGTCTGTAAAGATGTGTTTAGAAATAATTGATAATAAATTCAATTCTAAGGACTTAAAGTTGTATTGAAAGCGCGCTTTATATGCAAACATATTTTTCAATAATTTCATTACATTTTATTGAAGATAAGTTTTATAATAGTTTCCAATAATTTATTACTAATTTGTAATTAATATTTAGTGTAAAATTAAAAATAATATTTAATATAATTTTGGGATAAATAAATATATTATAAGGAAATGTTTCAAAATAAAAACTATTTCGACTAAAACTCTTATTTTACTGGTTTCTGGACATCGAGTTCTGTTTTTGATGACACTTTCAATTCAATATCAACTTTAGTTGAAATTTTAACATTCATTGGATCACTCGCTATATCCTTATCATTCTTATCAGTCGATTGGTTTGTCTTCGACTGATTGTTGCGGTGTTTGACAAAAGCGACGACAACTGCGATCACAATAACGATCACCAGTGATAGCAATAGTAAGACAAGCATTACATTCATCGCACGCCTACCGGCCGTAGACTGAGATGTTGATGGTTTCGGACATTTGAAGAACTCATCAAAACTATACGATTCCTATAAAACAAAACAACAATCAATTATATTTTAAAGTATATATTAATCACACAAACAAAACGCACGAGTTTTAGAATATTGGCGGCAATAAATATATTGATGCGATAAATGACTATTTGGGAAGTGTTGGCCGGAATTGACACCAAATAAAAATATTCATTGAATGAAAACAACCCAAATATTTTGCTAAAACTATTTCTTCCATAAGGAGTTAAGAGACCGCTATATAAGTCATTATATAGTTTAGTATTTGCGGGAAAGTCTAAAGCTGCCAATTGTTTGGATATATTAAACAGTTTTGTATAGTATTTGTTGTCAAAAATAATTGTCACCGGATTTAAAAAGCCATCCCTGTATTGATCGACACTTTTGGCGGTCTGTAAGTATGCGATCGCGAGTATAGTATCGGATGTTATGTTGTTTTGCAGATACTGTTTATCGAAAGCGCCGATTGTGTGGACACTAAATGGTAAATCATTCGATCCCTTATTGTTGGGAATCATGTGATTGAGTGGACCTGTCTTTGAGTCGAAGACTCCATAAATGCTTTGGGAATTGAATTGTAAGGATGTCTTCCAATTGCTTCGACCAATGATTATAGTTCTGTAGGTTTTGTTGTTTAGGAGATATGAATAACCAATTATCCGATGATTGATGTCTTAAACAACAAATCCTACAGAACTATAATTATTGGTCGAAGCAATTGGAAGACATCCTTACA